GTTCCCAGGGAAACGCGACTCTCAGCATGCAGAGACCCTGAGGTGTGGGTGCCAGCCTCGCTGATGACAGCCAGTATGTGCAGCAGGACGAGTGACTGTCACTGGCGGTGGAGGGATTCATGCAGTGGCTGCAACCAGCGGCAGAAGGAGCAGCACAGAGGAGCAGTGAGTCTAGTGGATGGACAGATGGACAGATGGATTGACAAGAATGCGATTCCATTTATATAGATGTAAACAGGCATTATTCGCGAGCAATTCTCTGTAGTTTTCACAGCTACATAAGACCCCAAATATACCAGTCAATCCTCTCATTCAAGACTGGGGAAACAGGGACCTTGCAAAGAGGAGATGCTGACCTAAAACTCCCAAGCACACCTGAGTACACAATTGAAAAGCAGGTTTCCTGCCTAGGTTTTCTGGGCTCTTCCACTCACTAATCTGAGTTATTTGCTGTAGTAGACTTCACTTACCTGGGCTCCAATGAGCATAAGGTGTAGGACATACCTGCAATGGCCAGCAGGAAGTGCTAGAAGGCAACATAAATAACACGAACTACTGTAGTGTGTAACCTCAGGAAGCACATTATAGAAAAGGAATGCGAAGTATGACAAGATGACCCTTTGCATTCACAGCAACAGCAAAATGAGGACAGAAATGAATCCCTGAAATACAAACATCCGAGTGGGTTACTTAGGTTACTTAGGGCACAGGCTTTGAGAGCCTGGCAGAACTGAAGTGCTCTCTCTTAGCCAGGCAATCTCCAGGAAGTTACTTAACTTCCCTGATCCTCTGTTTCATCTGTAGCATGGGATGAATAACACCTACGTTTCACTTGCAACGACAGAATCAATATGTACAATGTTTGATGTTCAATAAAGTGTATTTGTTATTATTTAACAGGCAGTGATTTCTGTTATGATCTTTTAAAACAGTCTCTCACAGAAGGCAATCAACTGTTAATTCACAAGTGCTAGAGGAAATTTCTTCAGGTTCTGAGGTCCAGTACTGTTAACTGAATGATTGTGCTTCAAGAACAGCTCACGCTCTTTGCTTACTGGCACGTGAGAGTTATTCCAGAGTTCTGCAATCTTCCTGAAAATTTCCCCATGACCCCTACTCTTTAGAGCTTAAAAGAAATGCTCTCTCTCTCTTTCGCTCCCTCAGCCCCTCTTAAGGTAAGTTTTGCTGACCGAATAAAATCTAGTACTAATACTATGTTCGTTTCAGGGCTGTAGCTCCATCGTTTTTCTTGAACATTCTGGTGGAGGAATTTCTCTTGTTGCATTTTGTTTTCAGAATTCTCTTTCTGCTCTTGTGTGCTGGCAGATGCATACATTCTTGATTTTGAAACCATGCCCCATCTGGCCCAGCAGGGATTTTCCGGGACTGCAGACACGTGTTCTTGCCTGGGACGGTCTGCTCTCGGAGCTGCACCTGTGACAGTCTGGTGTCCCCTGCACGTGGTCTCTGAGCAGAGGATGGTCAGCCAGAGTCCCTGCCCTTCCTCCCTTCCTGGCTTCGGTGATGACACCTGTTATTGTACTCTTTTTTTGCTAATTGTCATTATTACCGGTGGGAGATGATGGCTCATTGTGGATTTGCTCGCATTTGCCTGAATTTCAGATAAACAACAAATAATTATGTAGCTTAAAAATAACTATGTGGTTTATGTCCAAATATTGCGTAGCACTTTGCACTTTTTTTTTCCATTAAATCTGATGAATCTATGCGAGGCTACTTTTTCACTTGAGGAGCCATAAAATTTTCTCTCAAATTAATGTGCTACACACACACACACACACACACACACACATCCATTTACCTTGGAGGAGAGAGAGTCAAATGCAGACCAACCTAACTGATCCTAATGTTTTTCTAATAAGGTCGGTCAATGATTAGCACGTTTGCTCAGCTATTTAAAGGAGTCCAATGTGAGGAACGTCCAAGGAGCCTGACGGCCATGATTTGTAGACTGAGAACACTAATGTGTGCCGCATAGAACTGTATTATTTCCAAGGATGCCGAAACTGAGGTTAACGTTTCTAAGGGGCCTGGTCCCGTGCCTCACACGTAGTGGGTGCTCTGATGCAGTTATTGGTTTTGATATGACAAATGACAGGTCCACTCAATGAGAAGTGCCCACCATAGAGAGGAGGGAGGGGGTGTCTGAATCCTGCCTCAGCTGCTCATGGTCCTGTGATATTGAATGGGCCACCTGCACCGGGGAGCTATTTTCTCATCTTTAATGACGAGGAGCAATGAAACCTCAGGAACGAATGCTTTCTTTGGCCAGGAAGGAAGACCTTCCTCTGCCTGTTGGTCCTTCTAGCTGGACTTGGAATCAAAGTGATGAGACAGATTGATAGGAGAAAATCAAATTTAGTAGGCATAAGCATAGGGAAATTCCAAAGACAATGAGACAACAAGAAGCTTAGGGGAGCTAAGGAGAGCAGAGGACACAAAGGGGCCAGGAGCGGGAAGGTGAGAGGAGCTGTTTGGAAGAAAAAGCTTGCCCAATCATGCAGGTAAGTTCCTTAGGTAAAGGGGAGTCTCTGTTAATAGCTCTCTTGCTGGCACAGGCTCCCCTTTCCAGTGTAATTTGCTGTAGTTGAGGGCGAGGCACAGAGATTTTCCTGCATCTGGTGGGTTTTATTACCTTTAATTCAAAATCATCTTTATGGCAAAATAATATTTATGCCGTCAGGGGAAGCTTGCCTTGGGCCCCTACACTATTCATCGTTAAGTGTCTAAGCTTCTGGGCTTTCATAGCAAAGTAGGACTCTCTAGCACGCTGCTCAGGGCTTGGTTTTTAAAGAGAAGTTACTCATCTTGGGGCACCTGGGTGGCTCAGTCGGTTAAGCGTCCGACTTCAGCTCAGGTCATGATCTCACAGTCCGTGAGTTTGAGCCCCGTGTCAGGCTCTGTGCTGACGGCTCAGAGCCTGGAGCCTGCTTCAGATTCTGTGTCTCCCTCTCTGTCTGCCCCTCGCCTGTGCATGCTCTGTCTCTCTCTGTCTCAAAAATAAATAAAAACATTAAGAAAAATAAAAAGAGGTTACTCATCTAAGAAAAGACATGATTTTTTTTAAAAAATTGTATTCAACACACAGTGTTATAAAAGTATAAGTGGAAGATTGAAGAAAATATTTTATGGACAGTCCACTCATCAAAATATATCAATGTCTTTCCTCTTTTGGGCTTTCGGGCTTGTCCCATTCACCGAAAGTTGACATCATGTCTGCATCCATTTATTCCACGTGACCAAGGGAAGTGGTCACACTGGACGAGATCTCAGACTCTCTGCTGGGCGGAGGGGAGCTGCCCCAGGTGAGACGAGCATGCCAGCCTCTCGGAGGTTAACCGAGCAGGCCCAAGCTTCAGCACCTGGCCCTCTGCACAGGGTCTGCCTGAGTCCACACCTGCTGTGACCCAGCCGCCTCTCCCCTGGGGCTGAGGTCTGGGGCCATTAGAGCACCATGCAGCAGCGGGATGGCCTGGGGGGACAGGACGTCCTGCTCCCTCAAGTGCTGCCCAGTTTCTCTCTTCCTGGCGACAGCGGGGTCCTGATCAGAACCCTCCACTCTCCTCATGAGGGTTGGGTGAAAGCTTTGACTACTCTTTCTGCCCTGCTCAAGAGTTTCCCTCTATTATTTTTTAAACATGTGTCACTGTTGGAGAAATGTGATCCTTTAGTGCCACTTACAGAAGAGCACAGATGCACCACAGCAAGAAGAGAGGTAGAGGAAAGGAAAGCCATTGTCACTTGTTGACATACATTTTTGAGCCCAAGATGGAGCCCCTCCAGCACAGGGTGCCATGTAGTCAAACCGAGACTTAGGTACCTTTCCCATCCCAGTAAATGCTTCCCTTGACCAGAAACACCATTTATCCCAGCCAGCCAGTGCCCAAACACCAAGAATCGAAAATCTAAGGCTCATAAAACTCCTTCTTGCCCATAATCCCTGGGGAAGCGTGCTCTGCTGTGTGTGAGGCACTGAAAGCCCCAATCCATGGATTATTCCTTTGAATAAAAGACATCACACTCTACAAGATAAATTGTTTTACTTTTGTCATTTGACACATTCAGGGGAGTCCTTGTCTGGAGATTTGGGACAGGCTTTATTAAAGAGTCCTGGCCAACAGTTTTGAACCTTTAATCTGAGCAGTATTTGAATAACACTGATAACCATAATTGATAGAAACAGAGTTTTAAATGCGGACCATGTGAAATAAAATTTATTTTCATAAATCAATAGATGGTTGTGGATTTTCTCCCCCAAAGTAAGATTTCCTTATTGGTGACCATGTAAAAAATAGAGAAAGTAGGAAGAAAAGAGTTCACCTGATTTCTCCCCACCTACATTGCTTACCTAATATGGAGACTTTTATCACCTGCCATTTTGCTGTGTATGTGTCTCCCCCACTGTCACTCTCTTTTCCACTTAACATTTTTAGCACAGCTGCCCAGACACCTGCTTGAGGGTCTGAATGATGGCCCTGAAATATTCTTTTAGCAGAGTATTCTACTCAACTCTTCACCAACTCAGCACAACATTACAGCCTGCATCTGGGGACACTTGAGACTTGAATCTTGATTATAGTTGAGTATGTCTGCCTTTCAGTTTTTACCAAGAGGAGTTGCTCAGGAGCTGGGTCTGGTCATGGGTGCTGAAGGACCCAAGCCTCCGGCCCAGCCAAGTGCCCTTTCTGGCCATCCCCACTGCCCTCTCCCTCCAGGCTGTCAGCCTATAATTAGCATAACTAATTACCATAAATGTATCCAGGGGGCCCTGGTATACTTGGCATAGCTGAAATGGAGCCTTGATTTCAGTAGGAAGTCAATGCTCCCTTTATTTCTTTAAATTTCATTTCAGATGCGTTCCTCAGCTGACCCTTCACAAGGCCCCGCCTTTACCATTTCTGAGGATCTGACCCTGGAACCGCAGGACCTGGTCCCGCCCCCTGGTCTGCACCGCCCCTGCTCTCTTCCCCCTCCCTCCCACTCTCTCTCCTTTCTCTCACCAGTATCTGCTGGCACCACCTGGAAGCAGCAGCTCAGACCCTCTCCTGACCTCTGCCACTCACCCAGGTGGTCTCCTCCCAGCAGGTGCAGCCACTATGTCACCCTGGGCTTCTGTCCACCTGCCAGGACTTGGAGCCAAGCCGGGTCTCCTTGCAATCCTGTGCGCCCTCCTGTTTCCCGGTAAGTCTGGACCCCCTCCCCTGTACCCAGTGTGGGGGGGTGGCCTGGAGCCTCAGGAGCTTCCTCCAAGCAGCCTTGTGGAGGTCAGACTGGAGCAGCCAACCTTGATCGTGGCACGCGCTGGCAGCTCGGCCATCCTGTCCCGCCGGGCTAGAACCAAGTTCAGCTATATCCTGGTACTGCCACAAGGAGGGCAAGTCACAGTGACCTTAAATAATGGGACCAACATTATGTTATCAAATTAATGCTGAATAAAGTCTAAGAATATGTTCAGAATCACGATTTTCAAAGTTACGGTATCCGTTACCAGTTGCCCACACATCCTAGTATTGTGGGAACTTTGATGTCCATTACCTCAGAGCCACCTGGTAGAATCTCAATTCTAAAAATTTCCAGGCACACCTGGAAATCCACGTTAACTGTTTTGTATCGGGTCTTCTTCATGTTCAGCCCCGAGAACGGGCTCAGCCCTAACTGTCTCATAGAAATCTTGTATTGCTTTTGAATTTTGTTTTAAAATGTAGTTTAAAAAGAACTCACGCATCTTAGAATGTTAAAAATCACTGCGTAATATTGAACACTTACAGACAACAGGTGATGGTTAGACAATCTGATGGTTAGAAAGACCTGGAACCGGTTCTGTCTTGATCACTTTTCTCCCTTCCTCTCACACAACCTTTGCTTCTTTTACAAAACAGAACCTTTTTTTGCTCCCAATTCCCACGGACTCCATCAGCCAAGTTAGAGGAAACATTCATGCTTGGAGAGCTCAAAGCAGCTTCTTGGGCTGAGTGTGGCTTTTCCCCTGTGGAGGACAGACACCAAGTGTTACAGAGAGTGGCACAAATACTCAGGACTTGCTTTATGTCTCTTTTACCCAAATGCAGATGCTGGAATGAAATCCTCTGAAGCGTATTACACACAGTGATGCACACAGCTGTGATTTCATTCAGCAAATGTGGTCTGACACCTTTACTGCCTGAAAACATGATCTGCCTCCTTCTGCGTAAGGTTGCTAGAAATTGGCTTCTCGTGATCTTCACCAGGAGACTGAGAAGATAGACTTTCACCTAAGACTTTGTGTATCCCTGTCTTTGGGGGCACTGATATCTGATATCTCTCCCGGTCAAAGGACAGGAGTGGGTGCTGAGGGGCATAAAGGGTGGACTTCGTTGAATGCCTTCTGTATTCCCCTTAGCACTGATTTTCCTCATTTCTTTACCCTGCTCTGTGCTCTAGGAGGCTAACGCCCACGGACTACACTAATGGACATCTTTGTTGTGATTTCCACTGAATGTCGGCCAGTGAGAGTTGAAGTTCAAAGGAATAATGACCTCATCATTTGACAACAATTTCCATTCCTTGGGCACTAGACTTCCAAACCTGTGGATCCAGGGCCCTGGGAGAAAAGAAACAGATTCTTCCAGTGGGTTAATTGGTATAAAAAGGAATGGCCACTCCCACCTACACCTCTTGGGTCCCGAGCACAAATTCTGTCTCTGGGGTAGAGGGCCCTATATGTTGGCCCCAGGGGAGGATACAGCCAACCCAAGGCCACCCGTCAGGAGGGAACCCTGAGCTCACTCTGCTCCCAACTCCCAGCCTCCTCATGATGCTTCCACTGACTGCTTCCAAATAGCAACCAGAGAATAAGGAAACCCATCCATGCGGTCCATGAGGGTCCACCTCTTAATGCCCAGAATGAGGTAACGAAAGATGGACAGTCCATCTGGAGGAGCAAAAGGAAGAAATCAAGCAGATGGTCACTTAAGTGGGTTATGTTTTCCACCAAATAAGTAAAATAAGCTGGGGAATAGGGGGCCACTTTGAATTTGCTTAATGTTTGTTAACTTTACAAGAATGTACGTCAGCATTTGTGAGCAGCTTTGGGTTGTCTCAGACCTGCTGCCCTACCCAGTGGAGCCTGGTCAGGACACTATGAGGGCCACTCATGAAGCCATGGCTAAGGGTCACAGTGGGCACGCATCTGAATGAGTTCCTTTGTGGGCATTCTGCCCCAGGACCCTTCCTGCTAGTGGAAGGGAAAAGGCTAACAAAAATCACATATCTTCTCTGTTTAGTGAGCTAGTTTTAGCAGAAAGTGTCAAGGAAAATACACGGAGAGCACTCAAAATCCCATAACCAGACTTAAATAAACACTCACAATGTGCAAAGAGGATGATGCTTTGGAAATCTGTAGCTGGCAGAGTTTTATCTTCCCATATACATCATGTCACTGGGAGCCCTTCTCAGGTTACACCAAACATTGACAGATACCATCCACAAAAGCAGGCACTGGCTGTGCCTAGAATAAGCTCATTTTAAAAGTTAATCATGAGTTGGGGCGCCTGGGTGGCTCAGTCGGTTAAACGTCCGACTTCGGCCCGGGTCATGATCTCGTCGGGCTCTGTGCTGACAGCTCAGAGCCTGGAGCCTGTTTCAGATTCTGTGTCTCCCTCTCTCTGACCCTCCCCCGTTCATGCTCTGTCTCTCTCTGTCTCAAAAATAAATAAACGTTAAAAAAAAAAAAAAAGTTAATCATGAGATAGTGAGCTTGAAAGTCAAATTTAATTGGGAAAAAAGGGATTTTCTAAATTTCCCAATCTCTTATTTGATACATTGGTATGCAAGCCTAGTAAATTAGGAACACAGAAATTCACTACTGGTGCTAGATGCAGATAAGTGGGGGTGTGGTGTCCACAAAGTTTACACGCACCCCAAGACGAAAGGCTAGGGGTTGGCATGTGGTGTGAGATGTTGGGGAGAGAGAAAGTGAAGGTACTTTCTGGTTCCCTTGTCTCTGAGAGCCTTGCCCCACAAAGGATAGAAACTTCTTCAACAGATACCCAAAACACGGGGTGGGGGGGGGTGGAGAACCTGAGAATATCTGCCTGATGTCAAGCTCTGGAACACGGCCCTAGAGGAACACCACCAACAGTGGAGACATCAGCACAGACCAGCCCAAACCAGCCCTGACTGTCCCCACGGGCAGCACGGGCTGGTGACCCAGATGCTTCTTAGCATCTGTGAGAGGGTCAGGGCGCCGAGGGGACCACAGGAGGCAGCTGCCGGGATCTGGATGAGAAGCTGAGGTGGGAGCTTTGCATCCCAAGGCGTGCTGTGAGTCAGTAGGGGTGGGTTCGGGGCTGGCAACTGCACAGGACAGTTCAGAGGGAGAGTCTGAATCCAGAGAGCGGGGCCAAGGGCTGAAAGAGGGCGGCAGGGAGACTGTGAGAACTAACTCTCCTCCCGGGTGCACTGATGGCAGCAGGAGGCAGAGAGACAGAAGGATGAGGAAGGGGACAAAGGAGACAGAACTAGCCTGAAAGGGGCTGTTCTAAACCAGAGGAAACTGTCTTCAGTTGGTAAGCTTAGTGCCTCCTCCAGCATCAGAAGGAGGAAGAGATGACACGTGTGAGTTCAGCAATGGCGACGCTCCCGTCCCCTGCCACGCACCAGAGATGTAGCCTGGGTTTGCTCTAACCACTGCGCCCTGCTCAACGTGCCTGCGTGAGGGGGGAGGGGGCACCAGTGGGGACCACAATCCATCCCATGCCCACCACCCTCTATGCCGTGAGCAGGTCTGTGTCAGCCTGGAAAAAGTGCCTTTTTCTAATTTTCTGTCCAGGTCGTGCAGTGTTTTAATTAGTAAAAGGAGACTTCTGTGCTAAGGGAGGTCCTGTTTAGAAAGTAGTAACTACATAGAGTTGTGTAGGCAAGATACAGGGTTTTTACAAACATAATCCATGAAGCTTCCTGAGCCTAAAAAAGATAAACTAGTCTGCAAAAATAATTGTCAAAGAACTAATGAAAATAGTATTGTTTGAATCCGGTAAACCAAACTTTAAATTCCAGAGCACAGAGACAGACTGACAGTCATGAGAAATGTACTAAAACAACAACCACAAAAGCCTGCATTTGCATAGACCCTGGTAACCCAAGGGGGTGCAGTTAGAGGAGGAGGTGAGCTGGAGCTTCTCCAGAACCTTCTGCGGAGCAGAGATGCCAGCACCCACCCCAGGGATGGTGTGAGGTTATGAGATTAGAAATCCAAATGCTTAGCGTGCAGCTCTGAGTAATTATCAGTAGTAATTATCAGCATTTCCTTTAATCTCACTTCTGTCTCCATTCCTTAGCAAAAAATATCTCAAAAAATATTTGAGATAATTAATTAGAAAAATCTGCCTCGAGGCACTTTTAACAGTTTGTCTCTGCACAAGATATACCTGTGCCTACATCTGTGTCTCTATCTCTTTATTTTCATCTCCGTCTCTGTCTCTGTCTCCATCTCTGTCTCTGTCTCCATCTCTGTCTCTGTC